TGCAATGAACTTTCCTCTTAGTACTAAATACTTTCATAGTGTCCCAGAGATTTCGATGCATTGTTATGTGTGTTCTCATTCACCTCTAAGAATCTCTTAATCTCTTCCTTGATGTCTTTTGTAACCCATTGTTCATTCAGTAGCATATTATTTAGTCTTCAGGTGTTGGAGTCACTTTTATTTTTTATCTTATCATTGATTTCTAATTTTATTTCATTATGATCTGATCAAATACAGGGTAGTATCTCCACTTTTTTGCATTTGCCAAGAGTTGCTTTGTGGTATAATATATGGACATTTTAGAGAGGGATCCATGTGTTGCAGAGAAGAAAGTATATTCATTTATCGAAGGATGAAATATTCTGTATATGTCAGTTAAGTCTAAGTTATTGATTGTATTTTTGAGTTCTCTAGTTTCTTTTTCAGCTTTTGTTTGGAAGATCTATTCAGTAGTGAAAGAGGTATGTTAAAGTTACCCAAAATTATTGTGGTCCATTGACTCTTGAACCTGAGAAGAGTATGTTTGATGAACATAGATGTACATTGTTTGGGGCCTATAAATTTGTTATTATTATGTCTTATTGATGAGTGGTTTCCTTAAGGAATATGAAATATCCTTTTTTATCCCTTTTGATTAACTTTGGCTTGAAGTCTACTTTATTTGATATGAATATGGAAACCCCTGCTTGCTTTCGCATTCCATATGTGAGTGGTATGATTTTTCCCAACCTTTTACCTTCAGTTTGTGGATGTCTTTTCCTATGAGATGAGTCTTTTGGAGATAGCATATTGTTGGGTCTCTTTTTTTAATCCAATCTGTTATTCTATGTTTTTTGATTGGTGAGTTTTGGCCATTAACATTCAGGGTTATTATTAAGACATGATTTGTGTTTCCAGCCATTTTTGTTTATTTTTGAAAGAAGTGTGTTAAAGTTATCCAACTTGACTTGCTTTCTCCTTTGATTAGTTTTTCCTTTAGTGTAATAATACCTCCCTTTGCTCTGTGACTTGTAGTGTCGGCTGACTTCAGAGCCTGTGTGAAGTTCCCAGGTGCAGGCAGGCTAGTGCACATAGGGGACTATGTCTGCTGCTGTAGAGTCCCAAGATGGGGGCAACCCGGGGAGCCCCACATTGTTAGATCAGGGTCCACACAGGGGTGGCAGTTGGAGTTCCTACCCTGCTGGGTGTCCTCTGTGGGGGCTTTGTCCATGATTTCTGCTTGAATGAGTGGCCAAAAGTTCTTTGCAGGTTCTGCTGTCGACCTCTGGTCTCACTTGGGTATCCAGTAGTCCTGCGTGGGTGAGTAGTTGGGAGACCTACTCAGATGCTGAGGCCTGGAGCCCTAGATGGGCAGGGTGCTTCCTGGGAGGGTGGGGAGTGATAATATCATTGGCAGAGAAGCTGTATTCTCACTACTTGAATCCCACATCACGGAGCTATGCAGAATGCTGCCTCCCTCAGCCCCGCCATCTTGGATCTCCTCAAGAATGACAATTTTTAATGTCTTTTGAATATGAGGTTCTGGCTTATTACAGAAAGAAGAATTATCTTCTCAAAGAGCTGAGTACACAGTTACCTGTTTCGTTTGGAATTTCCAAGTCTTGGAATACTTTTCAACCCTCAAGCTTTATTTTTTTTTTTTAAAGAGTGAATGACATTGGGGCTGGGGTTATGGCTCAGTGGTAGAGTGCTTGCCTAGCATGTGTGAGGCACTGGGTTCTATCCCCAGCACCACATAAAAATAAATAAACAAAATAATGATATTAAAAAAATGACACCATGTTTTTAAAAAAAAGAGTGGATACCATTGTATATTACTTTTTTTCCTGGTTAATGCACAATTTTAGAACTCAAAAAAATTATATTAAGTTAAAACATTCAGAAGAAAGTACAAAAATGTTTTTTAGATTTTAATATAGTTTCACAAAGTGAAGATTAAAGTGCTACAATTTTTAAAATTTAATTTTTTGTAATTACTATGACATA